TTCACCCCGAACGAGATTCTGCCCTTCGGCGGAACCTCGTCCGGGTTCCTTTCTGCTCAAGAGCAGAGAGTTCGACCGTCAAGTCGAGAAGCTCGGCTTGATTCAGTATCCACCACCCCCCACGAGGGTTGCATGCGACACAAGGTCATTTTTATCGTGGGTTTCCTGAGCCCGTAGGCTCAGCCAAAAATATGCCCGTATGACTCGTCAAAACGAGATCGGGTAGGTCATTCACCCTGAACGAGATTCTGCCCTTCGGCGGAACCTCGTCCGGGTTCCTTTCTGCTCAAGAGCAGAGAGTTCGACCGTCAAGTCGAGAAGCTCGGCTTGATTCAGTATCTAGCCACCCCCACGAGGGTTGCATGCGACACAAGGTCATTTTTATCGGGGTTTCCTGAGCCCGTAGGCTCAGCCAAAAATATGCCCGTATAACTCGTAAAAACGAGATAGGGTAGGTCATTCACCCTGAACGAGATTCCGCCCTCGGCGGAACCTCGTCCGGGTTCCTTTCTGCTGAAAAGCAGAGAGTTCGACCGTCAAGTCGAGAAGCTCGGCTTGATTCAGTATCTAGCCACCCCCCACGAGGGTTGCATGCGACACAAGGTCATTTTTATCGTGGGTTTCCTGAGCCCGTAGGCTCAGCCAAAAATATGCCCGTATGACTCGTAAAAACGAGATCAGGGTAGGTCATTCACCCCGAACGAGATTCTGCCCTTCGGCGGAACCTCGTCCGGGTTCCTTTCTGCTCAAAAGCAGAGAGTTAGACCGTCAAGTCGAAAAGATCGGCTTGATTCGACCCTCTCTCTTGAGAGGCGTACTATACATAGTGTTAGGAAGAGTTCATTCTATCGTTATAGGTAAGGACCCATGACACTCTATCACAACTACAATCGAAAAGAATTTATCTAAACTCAACATTAAATTTGTCACAACTCCATCTAAAAGAATCAAAGACTTAATCAATACAAAACAAAACAACCAGCCAATACTTCAGTATCTGTCTATATTTCAAGCCAAAACTTGAAGGAGGAATTTACTCTATCAACTTCAAGGATTACCAGAAAGAAATTGGAGAAACTTCAAGAGTTTTAAGCGAAAGACTATATGAGCACAAAAGAGACATCTTAAAAAAAAACAACACACAAAATGAATTGGTTGTTGACCGTAACGAATTGACTACATTTGTGGCATAAAAAAATTCTACTCTAATTAAAAGAGAAAATAATTCACTAAGACGAAAATGTCTAAAAAGCTGATTTAATTGCTTGTTCAGCCACAGTAAATTTATGTCCAGATTCTTATAACGTTTCACCAATCTTGACAGATTTTCTGTCATCACAATGTGGGATAGTTAATAAAAAAGACGATGGAAAGAAAAGGAATATAAATGAATTTGGCCGGAGTGAATAAAATATTCTTTCTAAATTTTGAAACAACCAGCGTCTCTCGTTCATGCGCATGCGTAGTCACAACAACGTCAACAAATCCAGTCCGATGAAGTCCTAACGTATGAAATGCGTCACAAGTAACGTTTTTCCATTTTGTCTTATTGATATATAAAATATATATCGTTATCTCATTATACACACACACACACACATATATATATATATATATATATATATATATATATATTGTTCTAGCATACCTACGGACGATAATGGGTATGTCCCATTCACATAAATACAGTACTAAATACTAAATATGTTGGTCTGCATTTGGAGATTCTTCTCCAGCTGTGCTGCTCAAACTCTCTGCCTCCATTGCAGAGAGGATTCCCAGACGAGGCTATGTCGAAGGGCAGAGTCTCGTCTCGGGAAACAGCTACCCGATCCCGTTTTATACGGGGTCTACGGGGAATTTTTGGCCGATCCTACGGGCTCGGTTACCCCAAATTAAATTCGGCCTTGTGCCACATCTTACCGCGTGGAGCGGTTAGTAGATATCCTGCAGTTGGAGATTCATTGTGGAATTTACTTGACTCACTTTCAATAGTTGAATCCTTCTTCTATGCGCCACTGGCGAATCTTACATGTGTTGTTCTTGTCCTAAGTATTATCGTTCATTAACAACCTTCGTTTGATTATTCTATTCAGTAACCTTTCCTAGATTACAACACACACACACACACATATATTTATATAATTTACACTGGAACTTAATATTAATAATAAAATTCCATTCCTTGATGTATTTATGGATTCCAGGACACATAAATTTACTACTTCTCTATATAGGAAACCCACCAGCATTAACTCGTGTCTTTTTAATTATAATAGTGAATGCCCCGAACGATATGAGTTAGCTGTTATAAAAAAACTTAATCCAACGCACACAAATGATATCGTCTTCCAAAATCATATTCTATAAAGAATTACATAACATTAAACAAATACTCGTTAATAATGAATTCCCTTATTCCATCATTGATCAACAAATTAAAATGTATCAGAATAAACTTAATAATACCACTAACAAAATTGATAATATTAATAATAATTGTAACCAAATCAGTGTACGTCAAAATAAACATAATACTATTAACTTATACTATTATAACCAAATGCATAATAATTATAAACACGATGAAACAACGCAAAACATAATGGACTGAATTGTTAAATCCAGTAATAATAGTAAACAAGTAAACTTTTCATATATTATATAAAACATAGTCTCCAATAACCCTACAACCATACAATTAATACACAATGAAGTGTATCAATTTACATACCCGTTCTGAGATTGTATCTTTGATACTAATAATAAACCCACTACATATATTGGATCTACTGCAACCACGCTCTCCCGTAGACTTACCTGTCACCTTTCTGGTCTTTGTTCTATTAAACAACATTTCTTAGAAAAACATAGCCATCTATATAATATTAGACAGATATTAGTTGATAACACAACAACACTCACACATATACACATAGTAAAAAGAACCTTCAGATATTGGAGGCCATCTACATTAAAACAAAGCAACCCACACTCAACAAAATTATATTTCAAATCAGTCACAACATATTACAATGCATTTAAACACGCGGTTCTGTTGATAACATTTCTTTCTCTCACGTGGCCATGTATGACGTCATAGAAGCGCTTTACGAATTTACGACCTGCGTGTGCTCTTCCGAGACCGTTCTCGTCGCATAGGAAACTTTCATGTAAACATAACAGAAAATCATCTTTGATGGTGAACATCTCTGTTGCAATGCCCATATAACACTCTGATGATGGCTCATGTGAGCCGAAGAACAGGAACAGCCGAGGAATGGCATAATAAAAAAATATCCAAATGTTGGACAGTTTTCTCCCGAAACTAAAGCAACTAAACGAAGCTCATGATCAAACATATGATCAAACATACTAGACATTCGTTATCTGATATATTTAACAATATATATATATATATATACGCCCGCGTGTCTGTCTGTGTGTATTTGGGCAACAATCCTTCTTTTATATATGTTTAATTTCATACGACGAACAAGGAATAATATTTATTTTTATTCATTTTCTTACAGGTTTTCTTTTATGAGGACAATTTGTATGAACACGAAAAAGAATAAAATAGTTTTGCTATGTCGTATTTAATACAACAAACATATATATTATTATGTATATTATAATTTTATTACTTATATATATATATATATATATATATATATATATATATATATATATATATATATATATATATATATATATATATATATATATATATATATAAATATAATGCCTTTTAAATCCCTTGAGGAACATATGGCCGCAAGATATCGTTGCGGCTTCTATAACAAGCCAGCTTTTTAAGTGAGTAGGTTGTTAGCCTACTGCAGGATAAGATTTTGAATTCAAAGTTGTCCTTCTCCTCGACCAGTTGCCACCCAAGGTCTGTCATTTTATTTTATCTGTAATTTAATTTTATCTGTAATTTTATTACTTATATTATTATTATTATTGCTTATATTTCGAAAATAAGGATGTTATATTTTAAATTCTTTTAAGAGGGTTTTTTTTTTAATATTCATAAAAGCAGCGGTGTTTCACGCTTAGTGATTTTTTTTAAATGGATGGACGTTTATTAATATTCTATATACGTATATATACGTATATATATATACATTGAAATAATGTCGTATACAATATTTAATGTGCGTAAATAATAATAATAATAATAATAATAATAATAATAATAATAATACATATAATATATATATATATATATATGTATATATTGTTTAACATTTTTTATATTTATTGCTAGTTATTGCTGTTCTCATTCGATCACCAAAGTTAAGTAACTTCTTAGTTTTCTTCAAACTAAAACAGTCTCCACCGTTCTTTGTCGCGAATGCTATCAGCTACCTCATAGCATTTCCCTTAATCTCCTCCACGGCAAACTATCGGATAGTTATCACGCAGTATAACAACAACATAAAAATACGTTTAAATGGACGTATCCCCATAACAAATACACACCGACATTGTCTTTATTTTACTGAAGAAAAAGATGGCCACATGTTTACAGATAAATAAATAAATGGTCGACAAATCATTATACAGTTAGACTAATAATCTTATCTTAATGTTACTATCATATAATTTCAGCCATTGTACCCAGTATCTTATTCAGGTGTCATTCCATCCAGGTGTAATGAAATCAGGGTGTGCTGATTAAATGATAACACATAAACCAATGGATAACACGAGGCTTGAACCTTTCATCCTTACCATTACATTTTATACAACTCCGTACTTCGTTAAAATACTCTCAGTGAGTGTGGGCGGATTCGTCACTCCTGGGGCGAATCATGGACATTAGATTCGACCAACTTCTCTCTGGGGTGGTTGTTTATACTCATCTCTTCCATGTTTGTCGTTCCTACGCTGGCAAAAAAACAGATGCAGATGTGAAGTCACGTATTTCTGCATACGGCGGTTGGTGATTCAACATATGACCGTAAGGCCTATATAACAACCGCACATCTAAGCATACAGCACATGGGATTCCCAATCGATAACCCGTCTAGGTACTAACCAGGCTCGGCGTTGCTTAACTTCTGTGATCACACGGGAACCGATGTTCTCAGCATGATATGGACGCAAGCATACGTTGGGCTTGAGTAACTGATCATCTGCAAATAACTTTATTAAGTTTTTATTCTTTATTACTAAAACATGTGTGTTTTTATTCTTTATTACTAAAACATCTGTGTTTGTTTCTCTATTGCATTTTTATTTGATATAGGGGACCCAATCCATCAGGTGTACACTTGTCATCGAGCAAGCTAACACACTGACCAGTCCGCTACTGGATTTAAACTTCTGATCTTGGGATAATTTTCGTAGATTTTTACTTAAATTCAGGAACTGAACCGTAGTTATTTTTCGTGATCATTTTATTACTCGAACTTGTATCAACTTCCGTCACAGTGTGTGCGCATGCACGAATTACCTATTTATGTACTGTGCGTCTTTTCAATATCACCCCTAGCAAGAAACAATCTCCCCATCTACATCTTATTCGGTTCAACAATCCTTCCTTTCGCATGGTCTTGCGCTTGTCTTTATTCTTATCTAAAATAAACTACCCTTTGGCCACAACGTTCACATGAGCACAATGCGAATGAACTTATGCATACTGTTGTAGAGACGATGTGCCTCATATGTCACCCAGGCTGATCAACTGTGTCTCCATCTCTACGTGAAGTGAATTTCTAATGAAATCACCGACCAAGCTAAACGTTACGCATCCGTAATTGCCGTGGGACAAATTCCTGAAATCATTCTCACAATTTTAAAGTTTTTACTAAGTTCTCATTACTCAACAATAATTTATTATTAAATTTATTTTTTTAACCAGATATTTAAAAGAAACGAAATTTACACCCACACTCTCACAATACGTAATCACGACCCCTACAGGCAAGCGGATACAAATTAGACCTACTTCGAATTTGAAACAAATTGAGATCTTGTTAGTAAATACATGTAAATACTGACAAAACCACAGGTTTCATGTGCCCGGATATTATTTTTAAGCACAGTTCGGTATGACACGAGGTAATAAATGTAATAATCCCAATGAAATTTGAAAACAAGATGTCTACTATCTACTCCAATTGAGGGGGGGGGGATAACAAATAGATAGTAAATAAAATTTCAGGTTTTTAGATGAAAATGTCAGACATATAAAGTTGAAGTAGACGTTAGAAAGAAACGGAAACCCAATTCTAAACAGGAAACAAATGATAAACTTCTTCTCTTGTTCAAAAGACCAGGGAGGAGTGTAAACCTGACGATAGGCGACCAATCTACTCTAATATATATATATATATATATATATATATATATATATATATATATATATATATATACTAGCTTAGAAGCCGAACTCCGTGCGGACTCTTAAGCTAGTTCCTAGAAGAGCCTAATTGGCATCCGGTCTAAAAATTAAAGGGACCTCTGATCCAGCTTAGAAAGCAGCAATGATTTTTTTCGACTTTACTCTTTAAAATGAAGTACAAGCAAGTTTGATTCAATTACTAGCTTAAAAGCCACCCTCCTGCGTAGGACTAGTCGGCCTCCAGCCTAAAACGGATCTTTTCTATTAATTCCCCACAAAATAAAAAAGAAATCATATTTACTAAATTCACACCAGATTCTTCCAGGCGAGGACCTTCCATTGCACTCAGGTTGGGTTGACCTTTGCGATCGGCACAAATGTGCGCGACTCAGAAGCGCTGTTTTTAACTGAGGGTCTACATTTGCGCTTACCCCGATAAACAGGTCAAAAACAGATTTTCTTTTTTTTAAGAGTTGTTGCAAGACAAGCTAAACAAATTTTGAGTAAAATTTATAATTTCCAAAGAGTACCAAACATTCATTCAAAATTTAATTTCTCGGGGTGTATTAATATTTGAGATAAGTAACTTTATATTTTGTTGGGTGAATTAACAGAAAAGATTCGCACTACATAGGGAGAACGACGCAAAGGCTAGATGTTAGAATAAAACAACACGTTCCAGCGAAAATCCGAAACCAGAAGTACACTCCCTCGGACATTTTGACCAATACGTATGGGTCTTCCATCGCAGAACACCTTATAAATAGCCATAATTATGCTGTTAGTTTTAGTGCGGACGCTTTTACCACAGCGTGTTGACTGGCTTTCTTTGACGTGTGTTGGTCCAGCTTGATTGTTTCATTACGCTTGAACTGTTAAGTTTTTGATTTGAATTTGTTAAAACCTTTTTGAATTTTTCAGTTTGTCCTTTTTTAGTTTTGTCCATATATACTTGTGAATTTTCTTTTGCTGTTTATTTTCATTTTTTCGTATTTTTTTTACCCACCCCCCATTTTTTTTCTATTCTTTTTCATATTTGCTTTGTTTATTGTCTTTGGTTTTCCACGTTCTTGTTTTGGCTTATTTTTCTTTCTTCTTCACTGTTTTGCTTTGCGTTTATTGTTAAATAATTTTATAAAAGAAAAAAGCAAAAAGAAACCACTTATTCTTTCGGTCGTGGTGTTTTTTTTTAAACCATCATGGCTGACAACAATGCCAATGCCAATACACCGTGTCCAAAACCGGTGTCACCAGCTAAAACGGCCTGAAAGGAAAATAGGCCACTAAAAAAAGATGCAGCATTCTATGTTGAGCAAAGGGAAAAATTTGAAGAATCATTTAAAAGTAATGAATTCCTTACCATACCTGAGGCTCTAGATGCCGTAAGTTTGCACACAATATCCCTGCTGACTCCCGATGTTAAAATGCGGAAATTAATCGGGGTCAGCAGGGAAAACACGGAAAAAGCATTGAAGGCTTTAAATATCACTCTCAAAGTGGAGGACGAACGTCTTATGGGATATCCTTTTACTGACGGAACAACAAGCAAAGGAACTAGCGGGAAGTGTTTTGAACACGAAAAATTTACGCATGCAGACGCAGTACATGGGCACCCGTAGGACAAAGGTTACCATCCATGGGGTGCCCGTGGATATCTCGGAAGATAGAATGGGGCCTTTTTCACACAATACGGCGAAGTTAGTGAAGTAAAGTGAATATAGCGACTGGAGACATGGAGCTATACATAACCTTGAACAGGAAGAACTTCCAAGAAATATCAAATATATTGTTCTGTCGAGACAAGAAAATGTTGGTAGTAATGGAGGGAAGTAGACGGTGTTGTTGGTCATGTGAAGCTTCGGGGCACATGCCGAAGGAGTGCCACGGTAAACGTATACAAGCTCCACCTCGTCCAGCAACGAAAACAACAGCAGCAGCAGCAGGAGTAGCAACGGAGGAGGGAACATCCTCAATGACGACGAGTGGGGTCTGGAAGGAGGTGAGGAGTCGAAAATCAACAAACGTTCCGTCTGCTTCACAACAAGACGTGCCTCAGCCAAAGAGGCAATCAACACCGCATGAGCGGCCAGAAAAGCAGATAGAAAAGCAGCCACAAAAGAAGGTGCAGGCACAAAAGAAGGTGCAGACACCAAAGGAGGTGCAGACAAAACAACTGCATCAAAAACAACAGCGACAACAACAACAACAGCAAAATCAACAGCATGAACAACAACAGCAACAGAAGATAGACACATCCATGGACGTTGTCAACATGCCTCCACCTCGTGCAGCATCGTTGAAAATGAGCATAGAGGAAGAAGAGCAAGACGAACCACAGCAAAGTCACTCTGGCCGTAGTAGGGTGGAGAGGGGCATGGACAAAACCAGTTCACTCTCCGTCCCTGCTTCGCCAAAAGAAGCCAGTGTCTCGCGCAAAGCCAGGAGCCTCCCTAGTTCCCCTTCCCGTGCTCCATCCCCCTCTCCCTCAACTTCTTCTCTCATTTCAGTATCTACACCCCCTCACAAGTCCACTTCTTCCCCCCCCCAGAAGAAAATGTTCCCAGGCCCAGAAGCCATACGTAAGGTAGACAAAGAAGAAGTCAAAAAGGGCCTATCAAAACAAAAAAGGGCCCTCTTAGGACTTCAAGTTGGACAAGATAGAGGGAAAATCAGTGGAGGACCCTCGTAATTTTCTCCACGCCCCAGGAGTGGTCACCTGTGTGAGGGACACGGGGGCTTACTTAAGATTATGAAGCCATTTATCTGAGGCAAAAGAAGCATACCCAAACATTAGGATGTTTGAGCTGGACAATTCCAAATTGAAGAAACTTAGGCATTTTGTGCCGGGAGGGTCCCTGTTTTGCTCCATCCCTCTTTATATAGGGTTGTTAAACTAACGTACCGTTACGGACGTTGGCGGCATTGTCCTAGATGGTCCAATGACGACGGAGTTTGGAACAAGGAGCCTACGACAATCCGTCGGGGTCCTTACTGACGCAGATTTTCGCCAGGTATGTGAGTAGGTTAATTCTTACTTTTCTACTTTCAGGCGTAAAAGATGTCAATCAAGTTAGCCACTCTGAATGTGAAGGCTTGAGGGATCGGAGTAAGGCTGCCCATCTGCTCCGGGATATCTTGTCTTTCGGCGTGGATGTTGTTTGCAGCGTCGATGCGTGTGTGCCTTCTAACGACTTTGTCGTCTATACAGCATATGGGGACCGAGCTGCCAGAGGAGTGTCTTTGCTGGTGAAGCGGACTCTTGATGCGAAGGTGGACCTTGTGCATACCGATGCCGAGGGCCGGTTGATTGTGGCCGATATTGCCGTGAAAAGTGTTTATGCGGTTTATGCGCCCAACGACCAGGAGGAGCGAGTCTCGTTTTTTCGGCAGTTGGGGCCGTTCCAGGTGGATTCAACGCGCTTAGTCTTAATGTGGGACTGGAATGCCATCCTGGGCTCCAAGTTAGATCGAGGGCGGAGTGCTAGCGGAAGAAGGGGCGATCATAGCTTGGTTGATCTGATCAATGAATTTGGTCTCGTTGATAGATACCGGGTCGATCACCCCCGGGGGGTGGGTATGTGGACGTGGGCTCTTATTTGGCCTTGTGACAAAGTGGTTAGCTACCTTGACAGAATGTTAGTTACAGGAGCCAACGTAGACTTGTTATATTGTCCCACGTTTGTGCTCAGATGGCGATCGTAGGCCTAGAATGGCTGGGTACTGGAAGTTCAGTCTGTCCATACTGGACAGGCGGGACTTC